TCATCCCTGAGAAAATGTAAAAATTACAATCTACTCTTTATTCTTCAAAATCATCTGTCCAACTCCTTTGCATAAACTGATCACCCTGTTGTCTTTAGAATACAACAGAAAGAAATGTTTATCTTTTCAGCCCCAAAGATAATATTGTAAACTTCATAAACTTGGATTAGCTTACCTCTTGACATTATTTTCCAAGGAATTAATAAGTTATGGGATATTAACCTGTCCCCTTGCAACAATCATTCTATCCCTGGTATCATCCTGAACTCTGAACAAGTAAGTATCCTTAGATAAGGAGACTAAAGCTCCACATAATACTCTGAGTGAGACATATCATTAGTATACATATCATTAGCTTTAGTATTAACAACAGAGTACTGCTTTGATTTGAGTGGGTTAGCTACCAATGTGCCAGATCTTTTTCTGTTGACTTAGTTTGCCCATTTAAGCATTGGTCTGAATTTTTCTCACTTGTTCCAGTCTTTTATTCCCCATTTAATTTCCCTTATCGATATCTGTCACGTGACACACTCCACCTATGTCAATGGGTTTGTTTGTACTACTTTGATCATTCTTTGTGTTACCTAGTTGATTTTCGTAAAAAAGAAAATTTCATTTGGCAAGCCAATATATGACATGAATTCCTGGATTATTATTTCTGGAACAGAGGCAAATCAGGTCTCTTCTATCCCACTTCTGATATTTAGCATTGCTCAACAATTAGGGGGAGGGGTAATCTCGGTTGAGACTGTTAGTGACCTTATTAGTAGATGGTTTGGTGGTGTTCCTTCAGGGGGCTCTGAGGCTGCAATTGAGGGTGATCCTGGAGATTTTTCCTGTGTCTTCCTTTATTCTGTTGGCTTCTCAGGAGGCCACTTTGGGGTCAGCTGCCTCAGGCTCCTTTTCTTCAGTTGATCCATCGAGTGTGTGATGTTTTGGGTTTTTCTCCAGTTGCTTTTGAGCCTGCACTTTCCTTGATGGCTGGAAGGTTAATTCTCCTTCCATCTATTGATATTGTGATTCATGCAGTGAGGTTTACTGCATAGTAATGTGAAGGAACAGCTATGCCTTGTCAGAACTATGTGATTTAGCCTACCACCACCAGGTGGAAGCATATTCCGACTATCAAAGAATACATCTGCTCCTGAAAATATGGGGTTCTAGAGCAGAGTATGTACTTAACCTGAAGATATCACAACTTCCTAGGATTTGTCTCATCCTATATACGGTGCCAAGTTATTTTCTATACCTTTAAACTTTGTTGGAAGACCGTCAGGATTACCACGTCCATTGATGATGAGTTGGGACCATAGTTAGCATGCATGTTGGTTCGATTGTCAGCTTCTACATTCATTCTTCTTGCCATTGGCATCTTGACTTTCCTCGGCTCCTACAGGGGTTCATAGTTCCGCCTGTATTCGAGGGTCCTGACCCCTGACATAAGCCCCTCGGTCCATTGGTACACAGAATAGATTCTGTCGTTTGGTTGGAATGCTACTAGTGTGTGCCTTTGGGTTTGTAGGGGCTTGGCTCTAAGAATTCCTGGATGTATGGTTACCCTTAACCATGGATCCATGGGCACTACAGGTACTTGAGTCAGGATTAGTCATTCAGTTCACATCTTCACCACCATTATCCACC